TGAGCCCCATGCCTTCCCTATGGAGACTGCTGAGAGACTCAGTACTAACCTCATCTTACTGCTGGTCTGTTGGGGTTTTTTTGTACAATTCCAGGTTATTAAGACATTATATTATCTGCCATGGAATTATTTAACTGCGTGAAAATACTTTATTACTTCCCTTTTCTCATGCGATACAAGAACAAAAGGCACAACATCCTCCCTTCTTCAAACATTTGCAGTGTCCATCTGCAGCAAACCATCCCATTTGTTTCCATCACAGTTCCTTAGTTCCAGGACAGCAAAAACATGCTCTCCTTCCCCCAACCCATGGGAAAGCAATTCAGCACCATAATGCAGCTGCTGGCAAAGGTGTCAGTTCATCTTGTCCATCCCCTTTGTAATATTTTAATGTTAAGTGTGTTTTTTTGTTTTTGTTGTTGTTTGTTTGTTTTTTCCCCAGAATGAAGAAATTGATCATTCAGACTTCAAATAACCCACGTCCCTCCTCCCTCCCCCCCACCCCCGAATTTTATACTCATTCTATATATTTAATTGGAAAGGAACCACTTGTGAATATTTTACAAAGGCACCTTTGAAACTGTTGTAAGTTTTTTTGTTTGTTTGTTTTTTAAATCTTAAAATAATCCAGAAAATAGTAATCAATTGAAAATGCTGCTTGTTACATTGCTCATGGCCATCACATAATATCTTGTGTTCTACTCAGCTACCAGTTATACTCATCTAGCCATGCTGCTGAATGTGAAATCTCATCAGTGAGTCTTTCCCTCTTTGGAGGCCCTGTCACCAGCCCAGAAAACACTCAGTTGATTCTCAAAGAGCCATCCAGCCTTTTCCAATGTAAACTGGACAGACAAATCTTTCAAAGCCACAACGTTTGATAAGTGACAGAACAATCCAGAGCTGCACTGGTGTGTTTGTAGAGAGAGCAGCCTCTGCAGACTGGGATCCTTGTTGTTTTTTCACACTGATTCCAACTTTACCTAGCAAAAGCACTTACAACATACGTATCATTTTATGTAATAAACTGGGACTGTCATTATTCACACACAACGAATTGCCCATATTCTGTAAAATAATGCTCCCATGTGTTTCTCCTAACATCATGCAAAGCCAGTGTCTTTCAAGGAGTCTTAAGTTTCTGGTTTGGAAGCAACACTGTGCCATCCTCAAACTGATGTGTAAAACTTTGCCCTATGTAGTTACAGTTAGAATAATATCCTAATATAAAAGTATAATTAAGAGAATGCTGTCTTGCATGTGCTGACCTATTTATACGCCAAAATCTATGTATAGGAGAGCTATCAGTGTTGCTGCATCATGCGTTCAGTTCTAGACAGCAACTCAGGCTATTTATATGGATATTACTGACTGGCATCTGTGTATTTTCAAATTCCCTGGTCTATGACACACCACTTTTTAGCTTTGTACTTAGTTTTGCTGCAAAAAAAGCCTCATGCTCAGCTTGCCAAGCTCATGTGCAAGCCATTTGTTTTGGGTATGCCTCTGTTCCCACCCTGATACACAAGAGGAGGGAGCAGGGATAACATCATGTCCCACATATATGCCTGCACACAGTTATAGCTGTACTTAGAAAAAAATAATACAAAAATACAACAATCTGTCAGTAGAATTTTGCATTGGCATCCCATTGTGTTTTAGGTTGGAGGTGGAAGTCGAAGTAACTCAGCAGATGTTGCCAGATGCTGTAAAAGATGCATTTAAGTCACCCTGAGGAGCTATGTAAGAAAAGGCATGGGAGAATCACAGTTAGTGTTACACACATGCACATGAACAGATTCATAAACTGAAATAGCCTTTTAACTGTTATCCATGTTTAGCATTATAAGCAAGATCATTGTCTCCCCATCTTTATTGATATCTGCACCGTGTTCAGCAATGCTATAAATCCATTAGTGCTGGGAACAGCTGCAGAGCAGACTGAGGAGGAAAGGAAATGAATACAGCTGATAATCCTGAACAACTACCTCCAAAATGGTCAGACCAGAGCCAGCACACCTTGGACTACATGAACCATCAGAAAATCTCTAGGCATCACTAAGACTTGAATGAAAAAGCAACATCCCAAGGAAAATAAGATTATTTCACACAATCGCCAGCTACCTTGCATTATCAGGCCATCACTGAACTTACGAGCTTCTGAAACAAGTTCTCTGATGGGGTGTAACCTTCTGTAGATGAGCTCTATGCTCCTACCCCCCCACCCAAAGCTGGCAGACAACCCTACAGTCACAGTGGCCTGAGCTGAAACACTGACACAAGTCAGGGCTGTCAAAGAAGGGCTCTACACCTACAGCCCAGGGAGAAGGAAAGGGAAACAGCCCATAGGATGAAGGAAGAGAATCTAGGAATTAAGTGAGAGAGCGGGCAGCCTGGCAGGAAAAGCTGTCCCTGGAAAGAACAATAGTATCATGTGCCATCTGGAGGATGAAGACAGAAATGAACAGGCTACATCTCCAGTTTCAGCAGTCAGCTTTCAGGTGGATATGTACCATAATCACAGCTGACATCAGAGCTGCCTTTAGCACAGAGCCTGTTTTCCTTCTGATAATACACTTCCAGCATCACAAACACTACAGGAAAAAAAGCTGTCAGTTAAAAACAAGTCTAGAAGTCCCTTACTGCTTCTTTAAAAATTCAGGATACGTGACTTCTTGTCCAGTCTGCCCTGCAACAAAACAAGGGCAGAAGCATGGCAGTGTGTGTGGGGAGCACTGTCTAGCACACAGCACTGTGCTTGCAATCTTGTGAGCACCGATGTTCCAGATAATCCAACTCTTTTCTGGTCACCTGGAAAGTCAGAGGTAAAATGTGAGTTAAAGTAACTTGCTTTTATCAAATTGACCAGTCTGCCTTTCCTCAGTGAGGGGAGCTTATCTGTTAGCTTTGCTTCTGGCTGTTGGGGACGACATCTACTAGTCCAAAATGAAACACACTTGGAGTCAGAAGTTTCAATAGGATTTTTCCTCTGTTGTGTGACAAACTGAAAAGGAACTCTCTGAAGCAGTGCCACACAGACTGAAGAAAAGAAGCAAACTAACTTCTCTGGCAGAGAGATAGATCAGCACACCTATCTCAAAGGTGAGGTAAGCACCAATCTTTATTTTCTTCTCAATCTGCTGCTGGACTAAAGCACAGAACAGGACAGAAATGTTACGCTCTTCTCCTAGACCTCCATTTCTTTAGTCTCAAATGAAGAAAAACAAATGGATGAAAAGATGTAACACTGTAACACGACAGAAAGCACAACAATGAGGAGTATTTGCAAAATCCTAGGCTGCAGCAAGTGAGAACTTGTTCAAATGCAATAGCAGCAGACACAGAAAGAAAAGAAACGGCTTGCCTTCAGAAAGCCTCAGGTACACAGGGACCTCCAGCAAGATGCCCTTGCCTCTACTGCCAACCCTTAGATGAGGTCTGGAAAGGAGCAGATCCTGGCTCCACCCCTTCTGGTCACTCAGGTATGTTGCATATACCTGAGTTCCCCTGGATTGGACCTGCCTTCCAATTAAGTTCTCAATCACTGCTTCAAGCTGTGACTTAACATTTCCACTGTACAAGACCAGGTATAAAACATGATTTCCAAATATACAAGCTCAACTCTACTCACCTGAACAGATTGCTAACAGCTGGAAAGACTGAATTAACATCTATCTATCTGCAAGAAACGTTCGTGAGATCAGGCTGAAAAATCATGGAATTTCATTGTAGATACAAGATGGGGAAGAACTGTAGCACAGAACATTGCATATTAGAGGTAATTGGCTGAATTACTCCAATCAGTCACCGTGCAATGAGGCTGCACTAATGCTGTCCTTCCTTGGCTTAGCATGTGAGGATAAGAGACATATTCTGCCAGATGAAATTTCTGTCACTCAGTTATAAGCGAATAAATGTGAACAGTTTGTTAAAGAATTAGTAGATTGAGGATACCTCTAAACGGGCACGTTAGTCACAGTAGCTTCTATAGCAATTCACCACCTTTTAGAATCTATACATGGCTGAAACAGCAGTAGTGGTATTTCCAAAGCTATGAGAATGCACCACTGGATAGATTTCCACACGCCTCATGGTCTACAGGAGCAGCCAGAACAGTTTGAAATATTTGAACTTCAGTACAGCAAACAAGAAGCCTACGTGATGCAAGGAAATAAGCGAGGAATTTTGCTCCCTAGGTCTCCATGAAGCACAGTGCCCATGGCAATGGAAGTCAGCTGCTACCGGTCCTGCATGGAAGATGCATCAACGTGGTTTCCCTCCTCCACAAGGCTCACTGAGAGTGGTCAGACAAGCATCGTGTGCCTGGCACATGCACCCACTGGAAGATTACAGGATAATCATCTCACTCTTCACATCTCACCACAGTCATTTCAGAAAAAGCAGCACGGTTGCCATGTAGGGTCACACGATCTTACAGTAAGCATCAGCACCCTGTGATGAACTGGAAAGATGCTGAGTGCCAGCACCACCCTTCAGGCATGTGATTTTCCTTGGGAGTGATTCAGATGACAACCAGGAAAGGAGACTAAGAATTCTAACAGAACTGGACTTAGCTGAGATGTTTCGTGTGCACCTACAGTTGGGTCATTTGTAATCCTGTGCCTTTCTGGAAGTAATTGAGTGCTAGAAACACTGGCTCTCACCAAAGGTCATCTCTGTGAATAGAAAACTTCTGATGGAGTTTAGATGAAGGCTTTGTTCCTTTACATGGTACCAAACTCTTTGTTCAGAGAAAGGTCAGGGTCCTGATCCTGCCAATTAAATCTTAGTGACAGAGTTTAGTGACCTGTTGACTTGTTTAGGGAGCTGTTTGGCTTTGAAAGTGATGCAACACAACTCAAACACCACCTCAGAGGTTTTTCACCCACTTTCTTTACCAACTCTAAAGCCTTTCTAAATGCAATACAGGTACCTTGGCAAACTAGTTTTCTTTCAAAAGAAAATGAAAAGAAAACCAAGAAAGCAAAAATGACAGAAAGTGCTCCAGATGATGCTTTTTAATCGTTACTTTTATATTTTTAAAAACAAATCAAATTTAAAAAAACCAACATTTTAGACATGTGCTGAAATTTCCTGTACAACAAATATGAAAACAATAAAATTTGTACATCATTTCAAGATATTTAACTAACAGTCACTTATTTGAAACACATCAACTTTTCCCTTCTTAAGCAGGCCCCAAATGGGAAAAAGGCTGAAAAAGAAATTCAGGAGATGCAATTACCACACAGTGGAACTTTGAGCCTGGAAAGTGAATAGATGTAGATAAGCAACAGCAAGAGAAAACACTGGGTGAAGAGACAGGTCACAGCAATTGCAACACAGAGAACTTCAGAATGCGGTGAAAAAAAATCTGCAGGAATTCAAGTCTTGGCCAACAGGGATCCACAAGAGATCCCTAATAGAGGATTTCCTGCAATCCTGTTCTTCCCACAGACATATGCTATGAGGTGTTTCCAACTTACTCACATTGACAGTAAATCCAACTCTGTCTAAAACATTTTAAGCCTTACCAACTTTTTCCACTTCTATTTGGGATCAGCAGGTCGTTTAGTTTCAACTTGAGTCCCTTGCAAGAACGATTCACTTTCAGGAAAAAAAATTAAATCACAGAATTGTTGAAGTGAATGCCATTGCATTAAAAATGGATACCCCTTAGATGATGACAAGTGAAATTTTGGCACCTGTTTCCAACATCAAAACAATGGGTTAGATACTTCTATTTTCTGCAAGACTATATGGGTGGCGGCTAGACAGAAATGCTTCCTATTCTAGTTAGTTTTCATAGGTTCCACTGCAACATAATACAAAGGCAGGATCCAAAGTAGGATTCATCTCCCCCTCTTCTACGCTGTATAAAAGAGGGGTCTTCTGAAGCAGCAGACAAGCTCCTGGAGATGAGGAATAATGAATACTGACTCTGTGCTCTGCACAGATGTGTAATATTTAGAAGACAGAAAGAAATAAAGTAACTGTAAAGGGCAGACTTTCTGCCTTCCCAGTTCCTTTGGAATGGTTCTTTTTGGTCCCAGTGGCTTATTTGTCATGTGAGCTCTATGAGATCCCCTATGTGGAACACCATTTTGGGTGGGGTTAGGCAGGATCACTAACCTCATGGATCTGGCTTGTTTTTGTGGGTATTTATGTGTGCGTGTTGATTTTAAAAAAAAAGAAAAAAAGAAAAAAAAGGAAGAAAAAAAAAATTCAAGAATCCACAAGCAGCTGCTATGAGAAAAAAAGCTGAAGCACTTTGTGGTTGGTCCTCCAGATTTGCTCGCACAACATACCACAGTTTCACACTGTTGTCGAGCTCCTCTGGTTACCTGTAACGTTACAGCTCTGCACCAGGAATTCCTAGATTTTCCTGAATTCTAAGTATAGGAGCTATTTCTGACAACTCTGCCAAAAACTAAGAAAGAAACAAACAAACAAACAAAAAAAAAAAGCAGCAGAATTCCAGGGACTCTGGTTATTAAACCCTTCACAAGATTTTCACCGCTTGATAGCTCTTCTATAGCGCTATTCCAAAACTTCATATTCCTTTGCGATGCAAACAGTGCAATGATCCAAAGGTCAAAAAAACCCTACATGCCCTCCAAAGTACTTCAGAAGTCCTTCATTGGTAATGCCTTCATAAGTCTAGCAGTCATGTACCAGCAAAATCAATCTCGTCAAATCCTTGGCTTGCAAAATCAGCAACTCTGGGTTTTCCGCACGTTTGTTCTGTTTTTAAAAGGACCAGTTAAAATAACAGCAGCAGTACATTGCAAACAACTATAAAACAATTACATTGTATTAATGAGATGCAGGTGGGTAAGATGTGCTTCAGTTCTGAATGGCTAAAACAAGCAAGAAATTGGTCTTTACAGCAGAATTTTGTGCAATTCATTTTGGTAGTATCAGTAAAGCCAGTCAATCTGTTTGGGAGCGCTTGGACACTTGGAAACTTAGTTCAGCATTTTCACAGATTTATACATCTGAGGAAAAACAACAACAATGATAAAAAGACACGAACCTGAGTAAAACTCTATTAGAATAGAGCAATCATTATTCAGTAAATCATATATTGCACCTTTAAATAAATCATCATTGTATAAAAACAGGAATATCAACCAGGACCAGGGAGGAGCTATTCTGTCCTTCATACACACCCACACACACCCCTGCACACACATCCATGTACACACTTGCTCAGTTTTTCACTACAGTTAAAGCTCTGAGTGACACATCACACTCCTTTTCCTCTAGCAGAGGCACCAAAACATTAAGGCAGGGGATATTTGTGGTGAAATGCAAAAACAAAGCTCACCTCCAAACTTCTGGAGAGTCCTGCCAACAGTGCAACTACAGTTAAGTTTGACATAAGCCTTATTTAAAAATCTGTGTTCTCATTTCAAGAGTTTCAGTACAAAAATAGAATCTCTGCTGTTTGTTTTTTTTTTTTTTTTTCTAGAGTAGCAACTAGAAAAGGCACAATTTCCAAGTACAAATGTCCATTTGGAGGAGGTGTTTGTACTCCTTTTTTAAATAAAAAGGAAAATTCAGAAAAAAAAAAATAAATCACAGAGGCACATATCTATTAGCTAGGTAACCAGATACAGCAGATAAAATATGTTCCCAAAACTTATAATTAAATATATTAAAACAGCCCACAAGCCTGTTGTCTGTAAATGAAATCATATAAAATTGTAATAAAAAGCTTGTGTTATTATTTTAATATTTAAATTCTAGTTCCTTGTTCGCACTGCAAATGCTATTTCACCTATCAGTACTGTTAAATTCCCAAGAAAAATCAGAATTCCTCTGTTAACTTTAAATAGTTTTTCTTTTTTATCGATCCATGGCTCCTGCCAGTATTGTCTTTTTTTTTCCTCCAGAAGATCACTTCTTCATATGAGGACAGAACTGGAGAAACCAGACACGAGACACTGCACACAATCCTGGAAAATGTAAGAACATCTCCCTTTCTCATGCACAGACAGCAACTCCTGGAGACTGCGTTGTGTCCTGGTTACGCATGATAGCCATTAGCCTTCCCAAAAGCTGGTCCAGGTGTGAAATTTTCATAGATTGCCATTGCTGTTGTGTTTTGATAAATAAGGTCTGTTTTCTTCTCTTTCTGTGATCTAATAATATCCATGACGCACTGGTTTAGGAAGACATATTGGTCCTATGGGAGAAAAGTAATAAAGAGAATAATACAATTCTAGCAAATGACTGATTTGGAAAGTAATCCTGCTGCTGAATCTAAGTTTTGCTTTTTGGATGCATTGCACTGGAGGTTATCACACAGTTTGTTTTTGAAAGGTATACTTCACAGGAAATGGAGCTAGAAAGGATCTCATGATATCATCTAAGCAACCCCTAGTAAAAAAACACTAGGATTGTATTTACTGCCTCTCTTAACATCTCATTAAAAGATTTTCACAAAGATTTTACAGACTTTTCCAAATCAACTTGAGTTAATCCACACACGTTTTCAGATGAAAGCAGTAGTTCCAACAGGAACATGTATGTTCCTGAAGAACAAAAAAGACGCATGCAAAGGCCCCTTGACTTAAAGTTATCCTCATAGCTACAGGCCAGAATTAAATTCAAAAAGGTAGAACAAGCTGGAAAAAATCTTTTTCAAGATATGATTCTATTTAAAAATGCCAGTACTTCAAACTACCCTGTAATGAGAGTGCTTAGATCTACAAACTTCAGTACAACTCTCGTGGCTGCAAGGACTTTTGTAGAAAGAAATGAGGCAGGTAGGAGAGAAGTTTAAATAAGGGCGATTTCAGATTGCCCCACAATGTCTCATCATCCTGTAGTTTTGAGCTACAATCTTGAATCTACCTTTTCTGGACAGATGTGCCTATTTGAGAAACAGGACGCTGGATAAAAAGTAGTCTTACCTCAGTTTGCACCATTAGAGGTCGGTGCATTCGAAGATCATACACCACTCCATACACATCCACAGTATTCTCCATTTCAATCTGCTGAATCAGGCGGTCAATGGCAATAAATGTTCCTGTCCTCCCAACACCAGCACTGCAAGGACACAGAGAAGTTATTTACTGCTTTCTCTCAACTACCAGCTCACCTGTGGTCTGATGAAAAGCAAATGAAGTTAGCAAAATGTTCTCTGTTATTTCAATGGCACAAGTGTCCAAGTCTGTGTGGACTGTGTGGACTGTTCAGTCCAGAGAGATGGTCTTTACCATGACCAAGAGGGGAGGAGGGACATCCTTCTGGGCTTCCAAGCTTGCAGCTTGCACAAGATCACATATTAATGCACTTGAAAAGGCAACTCTTTCACCTAAATTTCCCAGGCTAGGAAAGAGAGCCCATTCTAATGAAATTTCACACTGTGTCATTGCTATCTACATAAGCCACTCTGAAAGTAATGCCTCCTATTTATTTCCATTGAAACAACAACAACAGATACAAAGAGCATAATAACAGTATTTGATAGAGCAAATTATCAGCTACTATTCTTCAACACAGTCATCACTATTAGCTATGCATTTCCACCAGTGATGAAGTAGAGCCTCCACACCACACTTGTAAAAATTTGCACCAGCAGAAGTGACTTACTGTAACCATCAGCACTGCTGAAATGCACCATGTGTTGCCTCACTGTGCTGATGTCCAATGGGTGGTCTCCATAAGCATTCAGTAAGCTTTAGTGAAACTCAGTGGGTGTCATTTTTTCTGCATGGAGGAATTCAATTCCACACTTTTGCTTCAACTGCACTTCAGTGTCAGATGCCATTTTGTCAGACTGCCCCTTTACTGCCACCTGTCACACAGCAATAAAATGTAATGGAATATAGGTGGGAGGGTTCAGCCTCTATTGCCATACCACCAACATTTGTCTTTGATGCTGTGGCCCAACATAATAAAATACGAGGCATTACTTTCAGAGCAGCCACCACACTTAACGCTGCCATGTTTCTGAGGCATGACACAAATGTTCCAAATCAGCAGGGTGAGTATCCTTAAATAGCAGAGACTTGACACATTTATTTCAAATCACACTGAAAAAGAACTGTTCTTAAAACTCCACACAACGAAAGCATGTCTAACATGAATACGTTCTTCCTACCTGCAGTGCACTAGAATAGGAGAGTCAATAGGATTCTGACTGCTGTATTCATGAACAAGATGTCTAAAGTTGATTAGCAGGTCTGTTGTCTCTGGCACTCCATGATCTGGCCAGGATGTAAAATGGAACTGACGCACTGTGTGGCTCTCCAGTGTGTCAGCCTAGAGGAACAAGAATGAAAAAAGGAAAACAGAAGTGCTTCAAAAGATAAACAGTAACACTTCCTGTCATTAGTACTACGCAAGACTTGGTTGCATTAAAATTGCCCATTAGAAATTGTGCAGTAATTTTATCTACGTTATTCCAATTCCTCTCTTCCTTCCATTTTAGTAGAGAATACTTTGCAATAATTTCATTTTTCCTTTACTCCAAGATCTTCTCTTCTGCATTACATTTGCTGATGGAGATGGGTCTTGATAGGGCTAATTGTTTGGTCACATTGTTTGGGAAATATTTCAGGTATCTGCATAAAGCACGCATTTTGGGGCAAGTCTCAGGGAGCTGCAGGATCATTGATGTGGCAAGTGGTGACAACCAATAGCAGGCTGGATTTTGCAACTGCTCTTATTCTTTTCTCTCTGATAACTTCCATTTTTACTAAGTTTTTGTGAAATTGTTATATTCTGTCACTCCAGCGTTGCTTGGCATGTGAAGCCCTTGACACAAGAAACCACTTCTATAGATACTTGTATACAACTAACAACTGACAAATTACTCACGTTTTCTACATTGAAGTCCCTTATTGTCCATTCTGGAAGAACAACTTCCGAGACCATTGTCACAATAACGTCACCGTAACTCTTAGATTGTTTGTCTGGCCAGTATTGCTCACATTTCGTCTAAGAAGAGAGTTTAAAGGTTCAACACATTGCACAGAAAAATGAAGCACAGAGAAAAAACAGCAAGACATGGCATGATAGTTTCCTGAGACTCCACATTGGTCTTGACTATTAGATTTAGATAACATGCCCCTCTGAAGTGGGACTGGAAGGTCCTTCACCCCTCCTAATGGCCTATCCCAAGGGAGAAGGAAAATCTACCATAATCATCCTTTAGAGAGAAGAACCCACCCTTAAAAATGGAGATTCCACAACCTACCTGAGACAATCTATTCTGGTCATCAGCAGGTATAAGGGAAAATAGATTTTAAAAAAGGGTTCATTTAATTCAGAAAACAAGCTTCCAGGAAGTGGATGCTTGTTTATAAGAGTAGCCACCCCCCAGCTTATTAGGGAAACAACTAAATTAGAAGAGATACAACTATTCATTTTAATATTAAAAAGAAATGAACAAACCCAAACCAATTAACCAAAAAAAAAAAAAAAAAAAAAAAAGAAATACCATACCCGGGCCTGCTCAACACATTTTGTCAACATGACAATAGAGTAGATATTCTTTTCCCAAATCATGCGCCAGAAGTCTTCTATAGTATTGGGTAAAGGGCCTTGTGCAGCAATAAATGCCTTCTTTGAGCTATATCCCTAGGAAGAAAAAAAGTATACATACACAAACCTTCACCAATGGGCCATTAAAAGCTGATGTTATACATCATATGATCTATTCAGCCCACGTCACAAAAATAACGTGCATTTTTAACTTCAATCAATGAAGCAACTTACAGGCATATAGTTTGCATTAATATAATCATCAGTTGCACAGCTAGGATTTGAAAGTTTAACACGAGAAATATCATCTGCAGAGAGAAAAGGAAAATAAGATTATAAGCACTGGAAACTTTTCAGCAAAACATTTCAGTTCTAACATGGTTTCTAAATAGAAGGTGCTCTGGAACAACGTGCATTCTAACAACGGGAACGTAACTTTAGGAATCTAAAGTAGTGATAACTGAGAGGTTATAATGAATGTCTTCAGAAAAAAATATGTCTGGACAATTAAAAAATTCAGCATATTAAACAGATTCCTAAACATGGTTTGTGTTTTCATACATACACATACATTGCCCAAAATTCACTATAGTTTGAGTCACTACAGAAAAACAGGTAATTCCTCTCCCATGCCATTGCAGTCGAGGTTTTTCCTTAGAAGCACTGCTAAGTGCACTCACTGTTACCCTTGCAGCTTTTCCTCAACACTTTCCTTTGCTGGGATGCAGCTTTCCTTTGCAGCCTGGTAGGGCTTAGGTTAGTAGTTTTCAAAGCTGTCCAGCAGTATCTTAATATTTCTTATAACTCCAATAGATCTGAAGTGCAAGCTTCTCATAAATGAAATATGAAAATGAGATGATTAGAAGAGCAAGTTCTTTTAAAGAACATTTTTGAGGGAAAGCTCTTTAGCTGTCCTCGTCCAGTGACTTCATACAGGATGATCATACAAGGAAAAGAACAGCCTGAATTCATTTATTTAGACACTGGCAAAACTAATTCCTCTTCAAAACCTCTGGGATTAAAACCAAAATTAGCCAAACCCAAGGGTTTTCAATTAAAATCTCAACTAGTAGAAGACATAAAACCCGAGAGTGTAGCTCACATGGTAAGACATTGTTGTATCTATTTTTCCCTCTGTTCTCAGGAATTTCAGCAGCAAATTTGGGCTGATGAACACCAGCAGACTTGAGTTCCTATAGGGAAAGAAAGATTCATGAGCACCCGGTTCTGGTTTAGGAAACATAAAACACAACTGAAACAGACAAATACTTCAAACACTCTCGGACTTTGTTGTAAAAGCAGCCATGTTAAACTGGACTAAATGATGACAACAATCAGCTTTTTACAAACAGAGCAGGAGGGTGGCAGCAGCGAAGTTCACAGATAAGAGATTAATACAGAATGGAGGAGTAATAGCATGTTTAAAGCCCAAAAATGGACTTTAAGAACCCAGTAATAATTTGGAAAAATACACAACACCAGCATTAACTGATTCTAACCCCAAGGCAAAGACCTCATTTAGCATGCGGTATGAAAGCATTACAGGGAGAAAGGGAGCAAGTTACATTATGAAAGGACCGAAGAAGAAAGCAAAATCTGGGAGGAGAGCAGGGTGGAGCACCAGCCTACAAGATACAATGAAAGGGACAGAATTTCATCTGAAAAGAGGGAGAATGGCAGTTTCAAGGGAGGAGAAAAGACAAAATTACGTAAGAGAAGTCCTGACAACACAAAATCCTTCAACGACAACACAAACAGTTGGTTACTGCCTTTTGCATTTCATAGCAATTGAGCTATCTTCATAGAAAAGGTGCTCCAGCCCTTGGACCATCTTTGTGGCCCTCCTCTGAACCCTCTTCAAAAGCTCCACACCCCTTCTGTGTGACTTGGATGCAGTACTCCATCTGCAGCCTCACGAGGACAGAAGAGAGGGAGACAATCACCTCCCTCACCTTGCTGGCCATCCCTCTCCTGATGGGACACACGGTACCATTGGCCTTCCAGGCTGCAAATGCATGCTGCTGGCTCATGTCAAGTTTGTCAACAACCAAGACCCCTAAGTCCTTGTCAGGGCTGCTCTCAAGGAGTTCTCCTCCCAGTTTGTATACATATCTGGGATTACCTCCACCCAAGTGCAAAAGCTTGCACTTAGCTTTGCTGAACCTCACTAGGTTCACAAGGGCCCACCTTTCGAGTTCATCAGGGCCCTTCTGGATGGCATCCCTTCCTTCTGCTGTATCAACCACACTGCTCAGCTTGGTGTTGCCAGCAAACTTGCTGAGGGTTCACTATATCATCTATGTTACCGATAAAGATTGTGCATATTTTGATGATTATTATCTACTTCAACATATTATGTGTGGTCTGTCACACATAATCCATTAAAGAAACTTGTTATTAGTAAAAGATGGATCTTGTTGTATAGAAAAAAAACCAACAACGATGAAATAAAGTGGAGAGAAGTGAAATGACATTCCCACAGTGCAAACATCAGTAATGCGACTAGGGCAAATGCTTTGGAGCTCTTGCCAAGAGTTTCGAGCAACAGGCCATGCTATAACTCAGAGGCAGATTTAATGGTTCAGGATGTGAAGTATTTATCATGCACTTCAACTAAACTTAGAGCTGAATCAAGTAAGGGAATGCTATGCATGCAGCTGAATGATGTCTATAACAAGGGTCCCTTCTTCTCTTCCCCTTCAGTAAACATCACACACTATAAAGGGAAGCTAATTTGCTTCCCAAAAATATTAGCCAAGAAGCTCTCCCCAGTGAGGACACACACCTCATACTCTTCAGCAAAACCACAGTTGGAGTCTGCTTGCTGCTTCTTAAAGTAGGACTCAAAGTTCTCTACTTTAATCATTTTTGATCTGAAATGAGAAAAGTCTTGTATTGGTGACTGATACTAAGTAAATAAGTCATGAATCCAGTGAATGTACTACAAAAATGGTTTACTTACTTCTTTATTCTTCAGGGGAGAGCGAGGCAGGGAAAGAAAAAAGGTTGATTAGACACATGCAGTTGTATATTTCACTACGCGATTCTAAGAACAAAGGCATGACTGTTAGTAGCACCCACCAAACTGCATTTACAGGAGACAGGATATAAAGGCAGAGCATTTAAATGATCGGTTCTGGCCGAGGAGAAAATGGTGCATCCTTCAGGAAAAGGATCTGATAGAAGGTGTCGGTCAGCTATGTGTGTACTCCCCTTCCATCAGATTGGCCTCATTCTCTGGCGTATTTTATTCTAACTATCAAAGTTACACTGGTGAAACTCAATGGGATGCTCAGGGTAGGTCTTTTCATAAAATAAATAGATGCATGAACCAATAACCTGGTTCAATTGTACTGCCCTGATTTTCAATATGTTGTGGTTACCCTCCCATGGCCATCTACTACCATTACACATCATCTCAATCAGCTCAGCTCAAAGTAGCCACAAACTAAAGGAAAGTATGGGACGCAGTGCAAATTTTTGCTTATAAGCCCTTTATCAACAGCTTGGACTGTTTTGTTTTCTCAGTGTGTTCAGAGGTTTGTGTTTCATGAAAACATTCTACTTTTCAAAACTATATGGGGTATTTGTGTAACTAATGCTGATTCATGAAGCAAGCATTAAGTCTTATCAATTTCATTATTTTCAGTCTGCAGGCTTGAGTCAGGTTTCATGCAAAATCACACATGAAACTGCACAGAAAACAAGCATTACACGGGTACACGGGAAGTTTTGCATGTATTACTTGAGCTCAAGAAACATTTAAAGAGACTTACTTAATTGGAGAAAAAGACACTTCAGTATTTCTTTTATCTTTCCTATGAGAAGAGAAAAACACAACATGCTCATAGGAGAATTTAAAGGAAAGCATATGAGATTTCTGATGATATATTTCATGTGTCTGCTCAGAACTGTGTCTTGTAAGGCATCTCACTCTGCACAAAATACTCCTGAGGCAAACCTTACACCTGCTGTGAAATTAAAATACCTTGTAATTCTTTCACCAATGTTTTACAACGGAACTGTATCTTTTTACTGGAACCAGAGCAAAATACCTGAACGCAAAGCACAGGTTTGCTGAAAAAAGTACATCCAAGGGATTTGCATCATCATCATCTCTCTTGAATCACTACTCCTCCCAGAACCCCTAACATTAATGTTCAATAGTGATGTATCAGTTGTACTGAAGGTGGAAGTTGGAAAAAAAATACATGTGCCATAGCTACTGGACACAGGAAACCTGTCCTAACAACAACTATGTGCAGAAACTAAGAAAAAATGGCCTAAAGACCCTACAGGTAACTCTTTAGAAGGGATGCATCACACAGTCAGCAGCAGGAAAAAGCCTCTGTAGAATGTGGGAGACCAGCTCAAACCTTAAGACAACTAATCAGCTTTTGGAAACTCCAGAATTAGAAGTTCAAGCAACAAACAAACAAGCAATTAAGAAGAGCCGTTGCTGAATATTTTCTAATAAAAGCACCTGTGATACAACTATATAATGTCTGTTAGCACAACAATCTGATGTTTGCTCACTTCTAACTTCAGAAGCATGCACAAGTTCCCAAGAGCTAAACAAATCTGCTCTCAACTCATTGGACATAGCTATAGATTGAACAAAGTAACTGACCTAATCTGATGCAAAAACTCTGATCTGTAACAAAAAAAGATTTTAAATAGAATGTACTTTAAATGGTGAAAGCAGATAAAACAGGAACAGAGGAAGAGAGGCCTTTTTTTTTTTTTAAGATACAGAAATGACATACTGATATTCCTTAACACAGCAAACAAAATAATGAACACTTTACCTTCTCCTCCTCCAGAATATGTAACCCCCTATAGCTACTACAGCCAATATAGCTAAAAGGCATCCAATAACGGCTCCAGCAATAACACCTTGTAAAAGAGAACAAGTATTACTCATCACTTATTTACCTCTTTGACAGTGCTCTAAATCAATCAACACACTATAAGAGAACCTAGCAAGTGACAAAAAACACTCTGCTCTACAAGGAACTTCTTCACTGTGTCCTTTGGCAGTACCAGTATTGAAAGCTCATTAAGAAATAATAAGACAAAATTGACAAATTAATTAAAAAAATAAGTCAAGGGATCAGTATTTGTGTTCTGATACACCCACTTGTAATTTAACAGAATTGTTAGAAAAATAGTGTCATAGAAATAGAAAAGTCACACAGTGTCATCATGTTTTGCATGCCATAAGTAGCACAGGTTTTTGTTACTGCCATATTGGAAGTCATACTTGGAAAAAAAGAAGCCACCTGTAGGACTAGTTAGATATGATTTTACTGAGCAGTGACACTTCAAAACTAGAAAGGAACAGCCCAACACAGGCAGATCAATTAGTGTTTCGCTATCACAAAACCTATTGTAATTAAGCAATCTCCAAACACTGTGCACGTGTAAAACTGCCAATCCTACATTAACTATACCTGGATCCTGGGGTAATGAAACCACCTCGGAACACCGTGAAAACGACACATAACTTTGTTCTCCCATAATTTTGTTGGCCACAGTAAAGTTTATGTTAGTGAAACCTGCAACACTTGCCCTGTTAATAAGGGAGAAAAAAACAACACATACATGACATGGTTTTAATAGCCATAGGCAAGATCTATGATTTCTTCATTATCTTCTTGCTTTCAACAGCAGCAAGATAAATACCTGTACGAATGAAGAGGAATCAACGGTCCATTTTCATAGCCATACATGGTGTTTCCCTTGCCTACATCAACAATGTTGTGCCCATTCTGAGAATTGAAAGATGTCATCTCCTCTACGTCTATGACATATGTCACATAGGTAGCTGTCATCTTCTGCTTGAAATCGTTGTATGTGTAGCTCAAATCAGACTTTGAAGGCCAACAACCTTCAGGAAAAACAAGGATATAAGTGGTACACATAACACACTATTTTTGTGATCACCAGCACAGTTGGAGAACATGTCACATTAACCACAATTTTGATTGCTCCACAAGCACTGCCTGAAACAAAAAACTGAGGGCAACACACAGCCTCAGAAATTCCTTCTGCTGCAGTGCAATTTACTTGGCTGCCTTTCCCTACTTTCTGGTGTCATTCATTTAATCTCCTTTCGGTTTTACTCCTCCCAATCACAGTAAAGCTTCTCTGTGAAGGCATGTTAGTGATGGATTCTGAGTATTTGTGGACAACTTCTGCTACACACGTCAGTTATGTCCATACTCTATCAAATAAATATCAAAGGTTGAGAATACTCCACAAATAAGTAAAAGGACAGAAAAAGCAATTTGAGCTTGATAACATCATGCTATTCAAACAGCACCAAGTTTAATTCAGGGTGATGATAAACTCATCCTGGCCTCTACTATCTTGCTGTGTCTGACATAGTCTTTTCATCTAAACCCTGAGAAATGAAGGAGTTTTATGTTTTCGCTTGCCATAGAGACAGATCAGATAAAACAATCAGTGAGAAAAATAGTTTCTCTTCAAAAAGACTCAGAAAAACAGGATAATGTAATCAAACAGTGATCAACAGGATACCAGTTGCAGAACAGCATCACTTTGTTCAGTGCCTGCTGTTAAAAGATGAACCCCAGAAATTTGAGGCAGATTCTATAGCTGGGATGTGTGATGTAAGTGATGACAACACAGCTCAAACTACCAGTTGTCTGACAACTCAAGAGTAAACAAAATGACTAAAAATATTCCAAGTGCTATGAAAAAGCATCTTCCCCACATAATTGAAGTTCACTTACATTGCTTTCTGTTGATTGCCTTTACAAAGCTAAAGCTCCTTTAGAAGCAGATACAGCATTGAATTCATCCTTAAAAAGGAGAAGTTGTAAAGGAGTTCTGAAAGGTTACAAAGTGAAGAAGCAAGTTTTCTACCACTGCATAGATAAAATTTGATCTGACATGCACTGCAAGCAATAGCAAAGCTCCTAGTAATTGTTGCTGTGTAAGAACAACGTACAACATAGCTCTCTGAAAGCACTAATTTTTTCACAGTAAAAACAACTGAGATTGGAATTAACTTAGTCACCTAGAAATGAATATTCAGTAACACTGTAAATACTTGTGATGTCCTGTCTGGTTCCTAGTTCCATTCCAAATGGATGTACATGGTCCCTAGCTTCTTTCCAAAAGGACATACAGCCCAAGTTATATCTGCACTTCTCCGTGAATGTCTTGGTTTTCACTCTAGGGTATCTTATCCATCTTTTGCTTATATGAAAGAATGAACAGTCCCCTCTATTTATCCCAAAAGTAATTATGTCTGCTTTGAGACAGAGAAACACAATTCAAATGCATTAATACTATCCAAACACCAAAAAATGAAGTTATGTTTGACCTTAAGGATGTTTTCTTCTCCTACCAAAGCACTGATTGGATTCCATAAACGTGCAGAATCTTTGTTCCCTAATTCTCTCAAACAAATCTTCAAATTTCACTTACTTGAATTCTTTACAGTCAAAACTACACGGAATAATACACTGAATATCATCAAGACTAAAGAAGACTGGTTGAAAATACAAGCAGAGTTATCACTGTGTGTAAGACATTGACATTCAAATCAGCAACTCCAAGGCAGCTAAGTCACATCTGAAAAAATAGGAATTTTCTGTACTTTCATACTATAGATAGCTGGGCATTTCTTGGACATATATTATATGGAAAACCACAGAAGAAAGATCTACAAATTGCTGCATGATGAATTTCCATTGTTAAAACAAAGGATAAGCAGAAATGTCACAATCTACTTGGGGAAAGTTATCTCCACCAGTTTGCTACTCCTTCAACGTGCAGTAATAAATGAAAAGATCAACCTGAACCTACACTGTAAAGTTATGTTCCTTTATTTTATGATTTCTCTCTAGACTTTCACCAATTATAGAAGCTTCGATCCTTTAAAGTTGTGATTCTTATAGACTATTATCTAGCTTTCTATACAAGTAATGCTGACAATGTTACTCAAGCCTTCCACCTGCATCCAATCTTTCTCAGTTAAAGTGTTTTAAGTCAAAAGGAAAGTTCTCTCTCCCTATAAGCAGAAAAAAAAAAACACCAAACCACATTTTGAAACTGCTTATATTATTAATTCTGAAAATTATCTCCTTGGGGAAAAGGATTCTACAGTCTTGTAGCAGCAAGTGGTAATACATAATACATACAATGTGTAGCAGCACAGTGGTAATACATAAGAGTCTCATCTACAAGGACAACTTAGGCTGAAAATAAGGCAGAGTGAAAACAGTGGCTTTCTGAAAACAAGGAATGATCTTACTTCCCTCAAGCAATGTACTTACCTCATCATTTCTGAAAGATGATTGAAAACACTGAGTCTTTTATTCTCTCCATTTAACATACACATAAGGATATAAGGAAAAAGCCTCTTTACAGTGAGAGTGGTGAGGCACTGGAACAGGTTGCCTGGAGATGTGGTTGATGCCCCAACCCTGAAGACATTCAAGACAAAACTGAATCGAGCCTGGGCAACCTGATCTAAGTGTGGTGTCCCTGTCCATTGCAGGGGAGTTAGACTAGATGGCCCTCAGAGGTCCCTTGCAACTCTAAGGATTCTATGATTCTATGAACATCTACTTTAAAGTCTAAAACATAGAAAATTCACTACAGTAAATTTTTTGTCCTAATAAAATGCTGTCTGATGAAGTTATTTCACGCAGCTGGGAGACAATATTATAACAACTTACCTCCTGCTTCAGTTATGATCATTACTGCATAAGCTTTTAATGGTCCATTCACTGACTCAAAGTCAGGAAACTCAACAGTCAGTGAGTTGTGACTGACTGCCTTGACTACAGGAGCTTCGTTTGGAACAGGTGGATCTATAAACAGACAAATATGCATATTCTTAGTACTTCAATGACAGACAAAGATAAGTTTTTCAAACAAGAAAATGTTCTTATAATGACATTGTTCATAGCATGCATATAGAATCATTTAGGTTGGAAAAGACTGCTAAGATCATCAACCCTAACCATTCATGTAACTACCAAATCCATCACCAAACCAAGGCCCTCATTGCAATGTTCACACATTTCTTAAACACCTCTAAGGATAGAAACTCCTCACTTCCCTTGGAAGGCTGTTCCAAAGCCTAATCACCCTTTCCATTGAGAAATTCTCCCTGATACCAAACCTAAACCTCCCCTGGCACATCTTGAGGCTGTTTCCATGAATCCAATTACCTGTCACCTAAGAAAAGAGACCGACATCTTCCTCACTGCAGCCCTCTTTCTTCTCCAGACTAAACTGCACCATTTCCTCCAAATGTCTTGTTTTCAAATTAGGCCATTCTCCAGATTTGTTGTTCTTTTCTGAATGTGTTCTGGCAACTCTTGTACTGAGGGGCTCCAAAGCCAAACACAGTATTCAAGATGCAAATTCACCAGTCTCTCTGTACTCAGCACTCCTGCTGACCATGCTGTTTTTGACACAGGCATGTATGCCATCAGTCTTCTGAGCCACCTGGGCATACTACTACTCCCATGCTATGTATTGCCCAGCTCCTCCAGGTCTTTTCTGCTAGTCTGCCTTCCAGCCACTCTTCTGCAAGACTGTACTGCTGCATAGGGTTGTCCTGATGAAACTGCAGCACCCAGAACTTAGCCTTATTGAAGGCCATGTAACTGGATATGGTCCCTCAATTTAATCTACCCAGATCCATCTGCAAAGCCTTTCTACCTGCCCAACTGACAACTTACCACAGGTGCACTTGATCTCATCAAGATCATCTACATAAAAATTACAAAAAACTACCCTTAATACTGAGACCTAGGGAATCCAACTTGTCACTAACAGGATTCACATTCACAATGACCTCCCAGGACTGGCCATCCAGCCTACTTTTTACCCAGCAGACAGTGCATCCATCCAAGCCATGCGCAGACAGATTTTCCAGGAGAATACTGTGAGAAATGGTATCAGATGCTTTGGAAAAGCCCAAATAAACAACATCCACATCCTTTCCCTTGTCTACTATGCAGGTCATCTTATCACAGAAGGTAATCAGGCTAGACAAGCAGGACCTGTCTTTCATAAACTCATACTGACTGGGTTATGATAACCTTGTTATCCTATACATGCCATGTGATGGTAATTGAGATGATCTGATTCATGAATTTCCCTGGTCATCACCCCTTATGGTGCATGAGATAGACTTGGCATTAATGTAATACTTTATCAATAAATGCATATGCTGATATATAAAGTTTCTTCTTCTGAAATAGCAAAGTTAATATTTTTGTCCTCAAAATATCTTCTGTTATCTGATCCTAATGCTTACCTGTAATGCTTGTATTACATATTATCTGCACTGGAAGACTTGTTAAATCTTCTGAAACAGTTGTAATATTAACAGTATAGGTTTTGTAATAATCTAAAGGTTGTGTTATGAAGCTTTCTTCTGAGCCTTCTCTCCCACAGAATTGACTGTGCTCATTTTTTGTCCAAGTATCATTAAATATTTCGATATCAAAGCCAGAGTAGCCGCCATAAGGACAGTCCCACTTCAGCATTAGGTAAGATGTATTAGCCACTGCTTCACACTGAAATGAACTCACTGAGGAAGGAACTGGGAAAAAAAAAGAAGAAATCAAATATAGTAGCAAAGAAAAAGCAGGCTGTTTATAAGCTCTTCTGTGTATAAGAATTTGTAAAACGTTGGTATTCCTTTGTAGTTCTAAACAGAGGAAGCTATTGCCTACAGAAAAACAGCATGGATGAGGTGTGTTTAGCACACTGTAAATACACAGACCCCTTCTGCATTAACTCCCTGCAGATTAATTTACTGAGAAAAATGAGGTTGAATAGCTGTTCATCAAAGTCAGCAAAGCTTTCAAATACTGTTCAACGACTGAACAAGAATATTCTTAGACTTGTAAACAAATGGCTAACTCTGTGTAATTACATCGAATGGTTAGTGGCCAACAAATAAAAAAATTGTCTTTGTTATTCATAGCACACTCTGAGATTTACAGATAGCTCTTACAAAAATTTCAGCTGGTCATCTACCATTTGCAGCTCCAGAAATGGACAAATGTGCATACAAACAAAAGAACATGTGGTCAAAGGATGCAGATGTGCTACCATATAATGGAAATGCTACACATGGCCTTACTGGATAGGTATGTTAGAGTGCTACGAACACTGTACATGTGGAAAGTGACCGTAGAGCAGATAAATAATGAAAGAGGAAATAACAGTGAATCCAAAGAACATGCTTAAGAGACTAAAAAGAACCACAACTGACCCCTCAAAACAGCTCCAGAACAAAGGAAGAGGGAGACCAAGAAGAGAGTTACAGCAGGAGCAGCAGCACTTTAGTCACTTTCCAAACAATACACTCTGTGCAAACACATCCCATGAAACTCGTACCCACAGTGACAGCAGGCAGGCAACATGCAGCACCTCTGCCTGTAACAATATCTCAGAGCTCATGCAGGTAGGCAGAATACAGGCAGAGCTGCTGCACAACAAAACACAACCCATCAGCAACACAACTGCAAGAAACAGCCACTTACTTGTATTTTGGCTTATAGATGCTCCTTCTCCTTCCGTCTGACCATCAGCCGCTATTGCAAAGACCGTGAAATTGTAAGAGGTCCCAGGGATTAAACTGGTTACAATACTTTCAGTGACTACTGATGTGGTCTTGTTAATTAGACTTTCACGTGCAACCTCTATCCTGTACGTGTAGGAGGCTGATGCTGTGTCATTCACTGTCCAGGTTAAGTTGACAGAAGTCATAGCAACATATTCTGCCTTGAGACCAAACACCTTGTTGGGCTCTGAGAAAGGCAAGACAACAATCCATCAACCTGCAACAATATCAGCTCACAAATAAAAGAGGAGAAACACAAACACACAGCTACATCACTTTCTTCACTCATCAGAGTGCTGGATCACCAGAGGTTCATGGAGGCTTTGCCATCAATGGGCTTGTAAGAGGAAAATGTGGAAGAGTCATCTTGAGTGGGATTCATCTCCTTCCTGCATTCAGAAGCAAGAGCAGTCATGACTATTGTGCCAGTACTCCCACAGTTTCCCTTGGGAATGTGGAGAGGTGGGCAGGAAGGAGACAATGGTGCAGGGGAATGGGGCAAAAATAGTGCATCTCAGCACAGCTACAGATAACAAAAAAAGATCAATTATCACTGGAAGACAAATGGGAGGGAGGACCTAGGAATCCTTCTGCTTTTTCACTGCTCAAGGCCGCAGGCTCATTTCAACAGCACAAAGAACATCTCCAAGACCCCCTCTACAGCATTTCATTCTCCACCCATCTCCAAACCAGAGTAACCAGTCACTATGGACAGGCAAATCAGGACACACAGACCTTTGGGTAACAACTGGAAAGACAAGAGCACATACATGTGTACGTTTCAGGAGAACAGGAATGACAAGGCGAGCACACGTTGCCACTGAAATACAGCATGGTCACTAACCAGCTGCACTACAGCCTCACAGACCAGCTCCAGAGGTCTCCCCTACAGCACACATGAAGACTTAAAATCCACGGCACAGCCAGCTAACAGGATGGACAAGGCAGTTCTCCTAAGCCAGTGCTGCCCAAAGCTCACTTCTCCACTCCAGATTCCCAGCAGACATGGGTCCCAAAATAACAGAAGACCCCCAGATGCACTCTGTTTTGTGTGTGAGAGCATTAAAGATACAGGTCTGAACTCCATATGTTCTTGGAAGTGAAGATTTGCCTAAACAAATCCCAAGCAGAAAAGGAAGTTCCTCAGGAAGCGTCCTTTCTATGTGCCACAGGTATTGTTAAGAAAATGTATTCCTTCCTGTTTATCAGAGAAAATTGCTTAAGGTTGTTATAAGAATCAGGGTTATGTTCATAATATACACATACCTCCAACTGCAAGCAGCCTGTGTGTAGCAGCTGTGCCAGCAAAGACACTGCACTTCACCGCTCAGAGAATTAAGCAGAGCCCTATGCTGCACAGCAAAATACAGTCTACCAGAAACACAACTACAAGAAAGAGCCACTTACTTGTATACAGGCTTATGGATGCTCCTTCTCCTTCCGTCTCACCATCAGCTGCTACTGCAAAGACTGTGAAAGTGTACGGCGTCCCAGGGGTTAAGCCAGTAATTTCAGTTTCTGTGATATTTGATGTTTCATTGTTAACGGAGGGCCCATTGCTAACCTCTATTCTGTATCTGTAGGTGTCTGATGCTGTGTCATTCACTGTCCAGGTTAAGTTAACAGAAGTCACACCAACATACTCTGCCTTGAGATCAATCACGTTGCTGGGCTCTGGGAAAGGCAAAACAAAAATCCATCAATCTGCAACAATACCTCCTCACAAACAATATGGGAAAGACACAGACACACCACTACTTCACTTTCTTCACATCACGGGTCAATCAGAGTGCAGGAGCACGACAGCAACTGCACCACAGGTTCCTGGAGGGCAGGAAGGACAATGGTGCAGGGGAATGGGGCAAAAATAGAGCATCTCAGCACAGCTAAAGGTAACAAAAAAAGATCAATTATCACTGGAAGACAAATGGGAGGGAGGACCTAGGAACCCTTCTGCTTTTTCCACTGTTCAAGGCCCCAAGCTCACTCCAACAGCACAAAGAACATCTCCAAGACCCCCTCTACAGCATTTCATTCTCCACCCATCTCCAAACCAGGGTAACCAGTCACTGTGGACAGGTAAATCAGGACACACAGACCTTTGGGTAACAACTGGAAAGACAAGAGCACATACATGTGTATGTTTCAGGAGAACAGGAATGACAAGGCGAGCACACGTTGCCACTGAAATACAGCATGGTCACTAACCAGCTGCACTACAGCCTCACAGACCAGCTCCAGAGGTCTCCCCTACAGCACACATGAAGACTTAAAATCCACGGCACAGCCAGCTAACAGGATGGACAAGGCAGTTCTCCTAAGCCAGTGCTGCCCAAAGCTCACTTCTCCACTCCAGATTCCCAGCAGACATGGGTCCCAAAATAACAGAAGACCCCCAGATGCACTCTGTTTTGTGTGTGAGAGCATTAAAAATACGGGTCTGAAGCCTGCATGCTCTATGAATGGAACTTAACTTCACCAAAATTTTGGAGACATTGGTCCTTGGAAAAATTATCTGTTGCAGGCAATAGCAACAAATTCAAATAACAGGATCTGGCTTTTGCTTCTTCTCTTCTCTTATAGCCCACGCTTGATAGATAGCCTGCAATAGGTTCCAGAACGAAAATATCATCTCTGCCCACACCAGCACTGAATTACAAGCCTTGCACAGGTACGCAGAGCCCTGTGATGTACAGCAAAACACAGTCCACCACAAACATGGCTGCAAGAAAATGTCACTTACTTGTATACCAGCTTATGGATGCTCCTTCTCCTTCCGTCTGACCATCAGCTGCGACTGCAAAGACTGTGAAAGTGTACGGCGTCCCAGGGGTTAAGCCAGTAATTTCAGTTTCAGTGATATTTGATGTCTCGTTGCTAACGGAGGGCCCATTTCTAACCTCTATTCTGTATCTGTAGGTGTCTGACGCTGTGTCATTCACTGTCCAGGTTAAGTTAACAGAAGTCACACCAACATACTCTGCCTTGAGATCAAATACTCGTGTCGGCTCTAGGAAATGCAGGAAAACAAACTGTCAAGACAGAGAAACACAGAGAAAAGCCACAACCATATTCACATAGATTGAGCATTAAATGTAGCCAACAAGCACTTCTAAGGTACTGATGCCCTGCTACAGACATGCTGGGACATCTCTGTAAAGGCCTCAGGAACTTTAAAAGAGATTCTCTTTATTTCGTGTCATATGATAGAATATATTTTTCCACAATGGCTTCCCAGAGAGATATAGAAATGGAAATCAAGTAACAAAGCAGAATACAATCCCCCTTATTATTTTGTATTGACTTAGTGTGTTCCCTTGCCACTAATTTATACGGATGTTGCCTGCCCCCTTTCCATACTGGAGCTAAAATGCAAGACAGCTCTTCTCCCATCTGCCCTTCTGATCTGGAAGAAAGGTGCCAGAGCACAAAGCGACAGAAGTGGCAGTACAGTTGATAATGTGATACTAGACACTGTCCCAGCCCACGGGAATCCCAGGCCATGGGCTGTGCAGACAGCTCAAAAGAATCTTAAACAACAAAAGTCTCCCTTGCACACCACAGCCTATGAAAAACCCTATGACAACCTGCTCCAAGAAGCACTGCAGGGAGCCAGTTCAGCCCTAACCTCCAGACAAGGTCATGCTGCTGTAGCAACTAGACTCCTACATATCTCATCAGTTAGGGTGTTCAAGACTAACTGCTCTACAGGCATCTCTCATACAAGCTGAGCCCTTTATCTTTTTAACAGACTGTTTGACATTCATGTTCACAAGAACCTGAAGCAAAGCAACACAGCAGTGAACAACAGTACAAAGCTGGAAAAAAAAAAAAAAAAAAAAAGGAAAAAAAGCAGGACTCTGTTACAAAGTGTTTCTTTACTTGCAGTTGAGAGGTACTAATGGTTTCTTACTTGTGTAGAGGCTTGTGAATGCTCCTTCTCCTTCTGTATGATTATCAGCTGCTACTGCAAAGACTGTGAAAATGTACGGCGTCCCAGGGGTTAAGCCAGTAATCTCAGCCATCGTGACGTTCGATGTCAGGTTGTCATTAAAAGAGACACTTGTAACCTCTATCCTATACGTGTAGGAGGCTGACGCTGTGTCATTCACTGTCCAGGTTAAGTTGACAGAAGTCACACCAACATACTCTGCCTTGAGATCAAGCACCGCACTGGGCTCTGGGAAAGACAAGACAGTAAGCCATCAAACTGCAAGAGCATCTGCTGACAAAAATGACAGAAAAAAAACCAACACGGACACGACACTAATTCACTTCCTTTGGTCAACTGTCAGTAAGAGGGCAGGAACACCAGAGGCTCGTGGAGTTTTGCCACAAATGGGCTTGTAAAGGAAAACTGAAAGAAAAGTCATTCTGAGTGGGATTCATCTCCACTTGGCATTCCACAGAAAGAGCACACATCACAACAGTGCCAGCACTGCCAGGATTTCTTTTGGAGATGTAGAGAGAATGGTATGAAAGAGATGAGGGCTGAGAAGAATATATAGAAGGAATACAATTAAAATGAGCAAACTACAAAACCAATCAGATCAGGGCAATGTTTCTGCTGCATTCTAATATTCCATGTCTTGCAAATAGCCTGCATTGGGCTCCAGGATGAAAACATCACCTCTGCCCACACCAGCACTGAATTACAAGCCTTGCGCAGGTATGCAGAGCCCTGTGATGTACAGCAAAACACAGACCACCACAAACATGGCTGCAAGAAACTGTCACTTACTTGTATACAGGCTTATGGATGCTCCTTCTGTCTCACCATCAGCTGCTACTGCAAAGACTGTGAAAGTGTACGGCGTCCCAGGGGTTAAGCCAGTAATTTCAGTTTCAGTGATATTTGATGTTTCATTGTTAACGGAGTGCCCATTGCTAACCTCTATTCTGTATCTGTAAGTGTCCGAAGCTGTGTCATTCACTATCCAAGTTAAGTTGACAGAAGTCACACCAACATACTCTGCCATGACACGAAGCACCGGGCTGGGCTCTGGGAAAGGCAGGAGAACAAGCCGTCAAGATAAAGAATTACGGAGAGAAAAAATGCCAGTCACATTCCCTTATTCCACGTTGACTGAGCACTAATTGTAGCCATACAGCATTTCAATAACACCAACCTATTTTTTTTTCTAGCTCCAGGAAGAAAGGATCATTGCATTGTGAAACACTGTTACATCAGAAACCAAAGGTTAAAAGCTGAGCTGTTTAAAATAGACTGCAAGTTCATCTGGAATTGAGAGGCACCAATAGTTCCTTACTTGTGTACAAGTTTAAGGACAATCCTTCTTCTTCAGTTGTACTGTTGACTGGTGTTGCAAATACTTTGAAGTTATAGGATGTTCCAGGGATTAACCCAGTGATTTCAATTTTGTTGATATCTGACGTTTCGTTGCTAACGGAATTAGCACTCCTAACCTCTATCCTGTACGTGTAGGCAGTCAAAGCTGTGTCATTCACTGTCCAGGTTAGGTTGACAGAAGTCACACCAACATACTCAGCCTTGAGATCAAGCACGGGGCTGAGCTCTGGGAAAGGCAAGAACAGCACTCCATTAAACCTGCAAGAATACCCACTCAAAAACAACAACAGAAAAACAAAGAAAGAAAAAAAAGCCACAGACACACGACTACTTCACTTTCTTCGCATCACTTCTCACTAAGACTGCATAAGCACCACGGCAAGAGCACCAGAGGCTCCTGATGGATTTGCCATCAATGGGCTTGTAAGAGAAAAGTGAGAAAGAGACATCTTGAGTGGGATTCATCTATCTCCTGCATTCAGAATCAACAGCATGCTTGACCGCTGTGCCAGCACTCGGATTTCAGGGAGAGATAAGTCCTTGGGAAAATTCTGTTTTGCAGGCACCAGTGACAAATTCAAACACCATCTGGGTTGTGCTTCTTTTGCACTCTAAAAGCCCACACTTTGGAAGATTGCTCACAACGTGCTCCAGGAGAGAAACTATCCCCTCTGCACATATCAGTGATGAATTAGAAGCCTCATTCAGGTAGGCAGAGCCCTATGCTTGCACAGCAAATCACAAAACACCAGAAACACAACTCAGAAACAGCCACTTACTTGTATACAGGCTAATGGATGCTCCTTCTCCTTCTGTATGATTATCAGCTGCTACTGCAAAGACCTTAAAATTGTACAATGTCCCAGGGATTAATCCAGTAATCTCAGCCATCGTGACGTTCGATGTCAGGTTGTCATTAAAAGAGACACTTGTAACCTCTATCCTATACGTGTAGGAGGCTGACGCTGTGTCATTCACTGTCCAGGTTAAGTTGACAGAAGTCACACCAACATACTCTGCCTTGAGATCAAGCACCGCACTGGGCTCTGGGAAAGACAAGACAGTAAGCCATCAAACTGCAAGAGCATCTGCTGACAAAAATGACAGAAAAAAAACCAACGCGGACACGACTCTAATTCACTTCCTTTGGTCAATTGTCAGTAAGAGGGCAGGAACACCAGAGGCTCGTGGAGTTTTGCCACAAATGGGCTTGCAAGGGAAAACTGAAAGAAAAGTCATTCTGAGTGGGATTCATCTCCACTTGGCATTCCACAGAAAGAGCACACATCACAACAGTGCCAGCACTGCCAGGATTTCTTTTGGAGATGTAGAGAGGATGGTATGAAAGAGATGAGGGCTGAGAAGAATATATAGAAGGAATACAATTAAAATGAGCAAACTACAAAACCAGTCAGATCAGGGCAATGTTTCTGCTGCATTCTAATATTCCATGTCTTGCAAATAGCCTGCATTGGGCTCCAGGATGAAAACATCACCTCTGCCCACACCAGCACTGAATTACAAGCCTTGCGCAGGTATGCAGAGCCCTGTGATGTACAGCAAAACACAGACCACCACAAACATGGCTGCAAGAAACTGTCACTTACTTGTATACAGGCTTATGGATGCTCCTTCTGTCTCACCATCAGCTGCTACTGCAAAGACTGTGAAAGTGTACGGCGTCCCAGGGGTTAAGCCAGTAATTTCAGTTTCAGTGATATTTGATGTCTCGTTGCTAACGGAGGGCCCATTTCTAACCTCTATTCTGTATCTGTAGGTGTCTGATGCTGTGTCGTTCACTGTCCAGGTTAAGTTGACAGAAGTCACACCAACATACTCTGCCTTGAGATCAAACAGCTTGCTGGGCTCTGGGAAAGGCAAGACAACAGTCTATCAAACTGTATCTGCTCACAAACAGAACAGGAAGAGTATCTGCTGACAAGCAATGCAGGAAAGACAGAGACACACCACTGCTTCACTTTCTTCACATCACTCATCAATCAGAGTGCAAGAACACCACAGCAACAGCACTAGAGGTTCGTGGAGGCTTTCCCATCAACGGGCTTATAAGTGGAAAATGTGGAAGAAGCATCTTGAGTGGGATTTATCTCCTTCCTGCATCCAGAAGCAAGAGCAGCCATGACTATTGTGCCAGTATTCCCACAGTTTCCCTTGGGAATGTGGAGAGATGGGCAGGAAGGAGACAATGGTGCAGGGAAATGGGGCAATGGCGGTGCATTTCAGCACAGCTAAAGATAAGGAAGATCAATTATTGCTGGAAGAAAAACAGAAGGAACTAGGAATTCTCCTTCTTTTCTACTGCTCACACATGCATGCAGGGCGTTGTGCTGCACAGCAAAACTCATTCCACCACGTCTGCAAGAAACTGTCACTTACTTGTGACATGTTTTGGATGCTCCCTCTCCTTCTGTCTGACCATCAGTCACTACAGCAAAGACTGTGAAACTACAACATCCCAGGAATTAGCCTGGTAATATTGGCTTTGGTGATACTTAAAGTTTTATATCTATTGGAGACACTATTTCTAAGTTTCATACTGTATGTGTAGGGGTCATTAGCTGTGATATTCAAATATAAGTTGGCAAATTTAAGTTGACAGAATTCACACCAACATATTTTGCCTCGAGACCAAGTACTGGGTTGGTCTCAGGGAAAGGCAAGACAACAATCCATCAATGTGAACAGAAGATCATCTGCTCACAGCGAATGTGTAGTGTTCCTCTTCCAGCTATCTTATTGATAGAGCTTTGTCTTTTCCTTGGCTAACTGCTATTCTAATCAAGCTGCTCTTGTATCTTGTATAGCATGCTTACTAGCTCTATGATCTACTCTTTTTGCTCCAACTCCTGCAGTTTCATCTCAAGCATTAAAGCTGTCTTAGTGCAGCAGTGATGTCTTTCATGTGTCAGGTGTTAACTTCATGCAAACTGGAGAGAAAGATTGGACCACGCAGCCTGTTATGCTTTCCTAACCTGGTTATCCCAAGGGGTCCTTCGAGCTGCAACATTCACAGATCTCTCCTCTAGATTCTAGTAGGTTATTTCAGCTGTACTGTGTCACACATATATATTTCAAATTTGTAGGTCACTGTATATTTGAACTACTGCAGCCGTACTGCAAAAATCTAATAAAATTTTACGTATATTTCCACATGATGCTACATTCCCATAATAGTCAGGGGAAGGAACTCAGTTCTTACAGTGATCAAACTATTTCAGGACCATGCTACAATCACAGTGTTATATTACACTTTCAGTTAGCTGTGTAAATACTTTTCTTTGTCTCATTCTCTACTCCAGCAAAACACTCGGATCCATTTCCAGACATGATCTTTGCACTCTGGATAAAAGTTTGGACTAAAACAGCTAACATAGCATAAAAACACAAAAAGCCCTGAAGGATCATTCACATCCCACCGACATTCCAAATCACTTACGTGCTACGCTGTTCTGATCACTCACTGCCCTGCCAGACAGTGACACATCCTCTGATAATCTCCTGCTCCCACTTGTAGCATTCACTGATAATTCATCATTACTACTGGTTCCCATTTCTTCAGTTATGTTTTTCAAGCTACAGTTGTCAGTGCCTGAAAGGTAAAAAAACATAAAAATCAATAAATATCTTTACAAAACTTCTGTGTTCCTCGTGAGCAAAATACAGTCATTAATAGATATCCTGATAGATATTAATAGAGATCCAACATCACCTCCTTTTTCCCAGTTTGTTTCTCTTTGTGTTTCCTGGTTTCACCAGCTTTAACTTTTGTCAATTTGTATTAGATTAGATTAGATTTCAGGATTTACTAACTCAACTCATAGACTGAATGAAGGCTACCCATGATCTGCTCTTTATTTCAGTGCAGTTTTGATGGAAAATAATCAAATGAACTTACAGACACATTCCACATGCGCATTTTTCTCACGCATCACATAAAGCTAACTGCTCTGCTTAACCTGGCACAGTGATTTGCTCTCTTATCATCAGCAGATGAGAAAATAAGGAGATGTGGTATTCACACACTGTATTCCCACATGGCAGAGATATCAGACAGATACAGGAAACCTTAGGCTGACGGAGTGCAGCCCAGCGAGCAAGGAGAGTTGATTCAGCTACACACAAGAATTACTATCTTAGTTGAAGCTGAAATACTTTACATGAGCAACACACACTGCAAGCAAGTTCAGGAAAGGTGGCCATGAACAACAGGATTCTTGGTTTGGAAGTAGTGGAAAACAAACAGAATCATAATTTCTGTATTTATTTGGAGCTGATAGAGAGGTGGATTCACATAAAAAGTGAAAGCAAAGAAAGCACTACAAGCCAGACTCACAATTCCTTCAGAACTATACATATTCTCTTCAAGCAGTGTAAAAGGTGAGTTTATCCCTCTCAGTTTAATTTGGCCCTAAAACTTAAAGGCCAATTCATTTAAGTCTGACATTCAATATGCAGGTAGATCTCACCTAGCAGCACTTTGGGAAATTTTTGACACATAAAATGCTGTCATTCAGACAAGTACATCAGTTGTCACACTCCAAAAATTCCTCAAAGCAACATTTTGGGAGTCTTGTTTTTTTTTGTTGTTGTTGTTTGTTTGTTTGTTTTACTCTGGGGTGGTGGTTTCTTTTGCTTTGTTTTTATGTGTTTTCCCATCTTTCCACTCATGCTAAATCTGTATTTGATTTTACCAGAACTCTTTACAACAGAAAAGCAATGGAATTAAAATGCTTTTTTTTTATATTACAAGGTATCCCTAAGTGCACTGCTGGAGCTATTGTCACTAAAAAGAAGTGAGTTCACATTTTTGAATGCTACTTCTAAAAAATATTTTCAGCAGCTTTTTATATACTTACCTGAAAAGAGAGCAGAAGTTACATACAAACATTTATATGTGTGTGTGTGTGCGTGTGTGTTTGTGTATGTAACAAAATGAGAGAATGATACTTACAGGCAGTTGTACATCTGACCTGGAAAACAAAACCAAATAATAGAGATTAAAACTTGAGAGCTACTAAAAAATCCATTAACATCCAACAGCACCAAAAATACACCCATCTATCACAGAGAAAAAGCAAATGTGATGGCAAAATGTCCGTTTCTCTGTTTTATTTCCTCTGAACAGAGCAGAGTTTATTTTGTCAAAAAAAAAATATATATATATAAATCTATCTTGCAGTGCATATAGTGGCTGTTTTACACGTAGACATTTAAAAATCAAAGCCAGATCTTAGTGAAAAGAGACTTTTGTTGGTAGGCTCCACATCACCCCACCAAAAAGAAATAAGTGACAATTAGAGGGTCTTTTTTTTTTTTTTTTCTGCAGAGATTTTTCTCTGGTCCTATTGCAGCATAAACATTATTTATTACTGCTTCTCACAAAACAATATTTTGCATTATCTGAAAAACCCCTCTCAGTGAAGTCCAAGTTCAAAAGTCATTGTGTATGTTCTGAATACTAGTTTATAAGTGTATACATACAAATAAAACATCAGTAGTTTTCAATTAACTGCAATCTGGAACTATCCCTAGTGACATTCACAAGAATTTTGCTTTGAAAATGCTTTTTGGTCTTCCAACTTCACGCTTCTGGTCCCAAATAAGCCATTTCCCTTCCTGTTAACCCCACGAACTGGTCTGTTAACCGCTCTTCACCTCCCTCCAGGTGGCAGCACAAAATGCTTGTAAGGAGTGAAAGAAAAGGTCTGAAAGCTCTTGCAAGGAAAACTGATTCCTGGGACTCTCACAGCAAGCTGACACCAACTGACTGCAGTCACTTTTGTCACACAATAAACAGGAGATTACCGAAGCAACTGTATCAGGGATTAAATATAACTATTCACCTTGCAAACATATTCACAAAAAGGCAAAGAAAAGCAGGAACAGATACATATCCCAAGAACAGGCAGCTGGGTGCTGGGGACCAGCAGATTGCATTTCCCTCATGCCAGGAAGGTTTCTGTCTTCCAGCATTGTGGTGTGGGCAACCAGAAGCTGTATGCATTCCCAGCTGCTCTCCCATTGTCTGCAGAAGGGCTGGTCCTTTGACTGGACCTCATAACACACTGCCCCTAGAAAATCCAATTTAGCTTTATGCTGCACGGTGCATTAGTCACTCAAAGCACCAAGGCTGCTGACTGCAAAAGTTGATGTGCTCATCTGAAGTGCTTCCAGTTTTGAACCATTTTCTGTTCACTTAGACTGGGCTGCTACCACCCAGCAATGCGATGAGCAAGCAAAGGTCCGCAAACCGCTCCTGGTGAACCTGCTTCAGGCAGTGGGAGAAGGTTTGGTTATTCTCCAGGGTCCCCCTCACTCTCAGTCACTCTGTTTCTGCAGTTCCATGAGCCAACTCAAAATAAGCAGCTACATCACAAAGACAATGTAAATTTAGAGCAGCAAATCAGACACCTCTCAGCCCTGTGCTGCCACAACCAGTTCCCTCAGCAGTGGCTCCTGGCATCAGGGTCTCAAAAGGTTAAAAGATGCAATGGCATCTTGTTGAGGCTACAAATAGCCTCTACAAAGATGATGTAGACCAGCTGACTAGAAGCAGCACAGCAAAGAAAACACCAAAACCATCAAGCTTTACAATAATGAGAAATACATGCAGTAGTGACAGACTTTCAGCCTTTGCTGGTCTCAACGCCAGAGCAAAAAGTTAGGTCACACTTCCTAGGCAAAAGAATGTTTCTAAAAGGCAGAGAACCAACTCCTGATCTTCTCCAGAGCAGCCCTACTGACAGCTTAGTGCACAAAGGACACACAAACATGAAGCTCATTGTCAACCCTTTTGAACATTTGAGAGCCCAGGCAAATTGCTAGGGCATTAGGAAATGAGGAAGCATGCTCATTTGTACTCAGGTCAAGAGTGTATATTCTGATGCAAGAAAGTGGCCAAGGAAGAAGTGACTACAAAGGAAAAGGCCACTTGAGGCAGGAAAACACTCCTGTGCAGCATTCAGAACTGAGTCTATGCTGTCTGGAAACAGATACTGAATTGATGAGCAAGAGGAGAGATTCTCTGAAATGCAGGGCAACCTAGAAGTTAAGTCAGAAAGATTCTATGTTTAATAAGAAAGCAAAATCACACACACAAAAAAAAAAACCACCAAAAATGTGACAGAACTGTGTACACCAACAGTGATTTCTATAGCCTTACAAGCAAACCAGCAAAAATGTAATACAATTCACAACGTGTTCTTAAGTTTCTACTTCTTCTGTAAAACCCTGAAGATTCCAATGTTATTAAATTCTTACATTTCTCATTTCCTTCTCACTAACTTCAAGTTCAGGGTTTCAGCATTTTTCCTGAGTAGTAGGAACAACAGGCATCATAAGGCTGAGAAATAGCTATGATGCTACCAAGCCCCCCACGCCCCTGCTTCCCCTGCCCCACCTCCCCATTCCTCCCCTACCAGCCCAGACAATAAGCATGTTGATCCCTGTTTTACCCCCAGCTACAAGCAGCTGATTCGATGGCAGCTTCCTACCGAGCTGCTAAGAGCTCGCCTGTATGGGCACACATGGGTTTTGTTAATGATGCTCAAGTAACAAAGAGGAAATTATGCCAAAACTTCTGTCTTGTGATGAATCAACATCTTCCTTCCATTTTACTTGCTTTTGTTCATCACAGACTTCGGCAGCCTCACAATATCTTTCTGACTTTGCAGAAACCTATGTGCTAACCAAATCCAATGAAGCACTCTGTGCTGGCAGCAGGCAGGCCTCCTTATGGAACATAAAACCACGCAAAACAAGTGATCCCAGTCCTAAGCGTCAGCCTGACTCAGTCATTCCGTGCTGCATTTTGCAACCATCAAGTGAACTGTTTCCTGGCCTCCCATGATTACTTACTGAAATGCTGTTTATACAAAACATTTGTGTATTATTTCAGGGGACATTCATGCTGAACACCTGACTCTCCTTGTGTTCACATCTGATATACCCAGAATATATCCATTTTTCTTTTCAATTACATTGATCTGTGTTATACATGTATAAAGAGTTGTGTAGTTTTTTGCTGGAATTTGCAGGGGAGAATTTCTGTCCTTGGGAAGAGCTAGGAAACACTCAATAAATCAAGAAAAGAAAGACAGTTAAACACAAAATACTGAACATTTGAAGTAAACAACAGGAGAGGTGCATATACACAAACTTCTCACTGTCATCAGCTGTGGCAAATGAGTCTTCATTTTGTCACACAGCCACACAAAGTCTAATCAAAGGGTGTGCCTTTCCAGGGGAGCTGAATAACTCACTTGCACAAAGTCTATCCTGCACTTCCTGCACAGGATTTCATCATCCAGGAGTCTGTGGTGTGTAACAAATGCAGGGTTCAGCTCCATCCTTTACAGATGAACAGTGGGTCACCTAATTGAGGAACCATTATTTTCACACATAATTTTACCAATGAAGAAACTAAGATGAGCTGTGGGAAACCATTTCCAAAAATTCCAGGTGTCTGAGAAGCCCAAATCCCACTGATGATTGATTAGACTCAAAGAGGAGGATTTAAAAGCTTCCTGCCATAGAGCTAGGCAGCAGCAGGGAGGACAGCAGTGTCTCCCCTTCTGCTGGCAGTGAGACTTTTGATCAACTTAGCTATGCTGTTAAACTGCACCCTGCAGCAAAGTCAGGATTCCTGCGCCAGGGGAAAACCCTTGTATACAGCAACCCATCTCCCTGGGGTGCTTAGGTTTCCAAAATACACGGCGTGGTTTGGTTCATGTAAATGCAGGGTCAGGAAGCTGGCTCAACAGCTGAAGCGTGAGCAAACCAAAAAATCCTACCTTAGCCACAAATCCTTCCTAAGAAGACACCTGGGGCTGCTGCTTGCTATTGCTTGTTTGCTTATGACCCAGATGCAAAAAGCCAGGAAACCAATCACAATGCTCTAAAAAAAAAAAAAGCTAAATGTCTTTCACACATGTACCTCCACATCTTCACCTACCCACCCTCCTGGGTTTGGAGGAACTCCATATCAAAACCACTGAACTATCACAGAGATCTGTTCATCACAGACTTCAGCAGTCTCCAAAGATTCCAAAGAGATCCAAATTCCATATGAGAACCCCTCCACAAAAGCAACAGCAATCAAATGATCAGCTGATTAAGCTCAGTAGTCAGGTAACAGTGGTCATACTTTCTTTTTTTCCCTGCTATGCCCACCTGCTGTAACTACCCTGTCTCACAGCTGTAACTAAGAACTTCAGGGCAAGCCAACACACTGAAATGACCATGATTCTAACACTCCAGGCTTCACTTTACTGACATTATCAGTCCTCACTGCCCAGCTGACAAAACATTAACTAGAAAGCTGTAATAACTCCATTACTTCCAGTCCCTTCTGCCATGTGGAGTATTTCATACTTGCCATAGGTTTATTCAGATAGCATTCTTACAGAAAGGTTTTGCTCAAAGTCACAAAATAAGTGAACATTAGACCCAGGAAAATTAAACCCTGGGCCACTGTGATAATGCCACTGATATTGCCCAGGTATTGTATCTTCAGGCTGATAAGGCTTTCCTATATTTGTCCATTTTCCAGGACTTGTAAGGCTCTGGCTGCTATTCCAGCTGTGAGCATCTTCCCAATGTTTGGGAATCTAAAAGTCTAAACCAGCAGACACCTTCCTGCAGGACATAATACCAAAGGGCTGGCTGGGGTTTGGACCAATGCAACATTCTCACCTCTTTCAAGCCATCTCAGGATGTTTCACTGTATTTATTTCCATGTTGTGGCTAAATAAGTGAATTTTGTAGACTTACAGCACAGGACAACAGAAATAAGAGAATTTGAATTGGTAATTAAAAGCAGTTCTTCCTTAGTAGGTGCATGTGCACCTATGTGAACTACTTCAAATAATATTCCTTACTTTGGCAGCTTCTGGCTTTTGGGATTAAAAAAAAAAAAAAGTCATACTAGAAAATGAACTAAAATATACTGCCATGGTATTTCGTCCTATTT